TTAAATTCTGCCATAAGGCGGTAAGACTATCAGTTCTCAAACTGGATTAGTGGATTCATACCTTGCTAGTGTTTCTTAATATGGGGCTGAGAAACTCTCCAAGTTCTGGAGGCCGGCCAGGCAGACAACTACAAATAACCAAAGTTACATATCAAAGAACCATTCTATCACTTCACCCAAGGGCACACATAGGCCTCGAACGTGTATTTATTGATCCTCATTTGTTCAGTCGTTGAGGATATAGCCTCACTTAGTACATATCAAGACGGTTGTCATCCAATATCCGGAATCGAGCAGTATATGCATCCAAACCATACACCATATACCATATCTCAACTCCTCCAATTCCTTGACATACATCTCTAAAACTCGTTTGGCTTCCCATTCCTCATCTCATGTTCGCTCCCCCCTTTTCTCATTACCTACATACAAAATCTCAGATTCCCAAGGATCTCATCCATCATACCTGCAAACTCCTTTACTGTTGACTTATATCATTGATCCATATAAAGAATACCAAGAGATGGCCTACCTAGGAAGCTTTTAAGTTTGCTGATACATAATATACTGATTCCACTCCTCGAAGCCCTCGAATCCTACACTATTAACAAACTATCCAATCTAGACAGCCTTAAACCATCTATTCCAAAATTCAAATAAAAATATAAACATCTAAAACTAATAAAGCACTTACAAGTACCTAGGTAATTATCGAATCTACATTAGAATATCGGAGGAAGTCAAGAAGAATAGGTATATGAAATCCGAATGTTCATTACAACCATTCATCACAAATCAAAACATTAGTCTCCTCATCCTATTCCTTTTTGGCGACCTCATTGCTCCTCGGTTTTAAGAAACATATATGGTATCTCGTAAATGTATCACTGTTGCAAAATGAACAAAGAGGGGGTATAATCATTTGACTTTTAAGTAAAGCATGTACATTGAGGGGCAAAGTTTAAATGGCTCATGCATAATACATACAGATATCCTTTTTACCATCTACCATTAATCCACTCAAGAGATATCGAAAAGTGGCTTCAACTTCAGAATGAGTGCCCACTCGTCCTTCTTGACTTCATCTCTGTAGAACTCCTTCAGAGTATCGATGCTCTTTCTGCTAATCAATGAGTACAATGTATCAGATTCCTCCAAGTGTCTACCATATGTCGGTTGTGAACTGCCCATTTCGATTTTGATAGCAACGGAAGGTTCTCCTCTTTTGCACTTTTCAAGTTGCTTGTGATCACGTTCAATGGATGTGACTCTTCCAATACCCACGATCTCTTTGCTACCAGTGACCGAGTTTTGTTTGACAGCGGCTATAGGGGTGTGCAATCTGAGGTTTCCTTCAACAACATCAACACCGATAACAATAGGGCCGGTTTTATTGAAGACAGCTACTGGTTTAAGAACGCAGGGGAAGACGGCCAAAAGTTTAGAAGCTTCCTTCTTTGCCTCGGCAATAACCTGCATGTGCTTGGTGAAGGAGTCGAAAAGATGATAGATAATATCTGCAGTAAAGATCTTGATGCCTTGATCATCGGCGTATTGTTGAGCCTCCTTATCAATCTTAACATCGAAACATAACATGACCGCGTATTCCTTTTGCTTCTCAAGCATGGTACCACAATTCATTACATCTCTCCTGAAGACTGGACCAATGCCGACATTGGCAACAGGAATCTTGGATACCTTCAAGAAATCTAGAAGAGCCTCCAAAGATCCAAGAGTTGATGCTTGAACGGTGACACCACGTCCAGATTTCTCAACTCGGCTAAAGAGTGCACCAAGATCGGACTCAACCTCAGCCTCGACATCCGACTCGTCATCGTCAGGACCAACAACCATCAATCTCGAACCTGCAATAGCGCCTTCGAGACCGGGTGCAGAAATCTTGACACCGAGGGCGGCCTTGACCTCCTTGTTGTGGACATATTGGGATTTAAGACGAAGTTCTTTCATCTCGGCTGGTGTTAAGAGTGCTCGAATATTTGTGGTAATGGCTCCATCTACACCACATACTACAATACGATCACCCTCTCGAAGGATGCCGTTGGATAGAATGACATCAATAGTCATACCGAAACCTTCGATAGCCTTGACCTCGAGCACAGTACATTGAACTTCTGAAAGGTACATCAAAGCACCGACCATACGCTCTTGGGTGAGTTGAAGAATCAGCTTAAGCATATCTGGAATACCCTCACCAGTGTGAGCTGACGTAGGAACCAAGGAAACATTCTTGGCCATAGATTTGTTCTCGTAGAAAACTTCAGCGTTAAATCCTTGTTCGGCAAAAGCAACCTTTGTATCTGCGAGACGCTTTGCGAATTCGTTTTGTACACCCTTGTTTTGAAGAGCCAAACTCTCTTGGAATCCGTTGTTATCAACCTTCTTCCAGCCATAGAGACGATCGATTTTGTTGAGGGCAACAATGAAAGGTGTCTTTCTATCCCGAAGAAGTTTCATCGATTCCAAAGTCTGAGGCTCAAGACCGTGCATAATATCGACGACAAGAATGGCAATGTTACAAAGTGATGAACCACGAGAACGTAAATTCGAGAAAGACTCGTGACCAGGTGTATCGATCACCAAGAGACCAGGAACCTTGAGGTCGAAGCTCTCATCTCTGTTCACTACTGCAATCTTCTTCCTGATAGCCTCAACTGGGAAGTAAGTCGCACCAATTTGTTGCGTAATACCTCCAGCTTCTCCTTCCTGCACGTTAGTTTGCCGAATCTTGTCTAAGAGCTTGGTCTTTCCAGTATCGACGTGTCCAAGAATACAGCAAATGGGGGATCGCAAGTTATCCTTTGATCTAGCCGCCAATGCTGCTTCGTGTGCCTTTCGTTTTCTCTCAGCGGCTTCGTTCTTTCTTTTGAGTTCAGCCAATTCTCTCGCTGTGGCTTCTTCATCTTCGGATGAATCTTCATCTTCTGAATCAGATTCAGATTCAGAATCTTCTTGCTCCTTCTTTCTAACCGGCAAGGAAGAGGCAGCTTTCTTGTCGCCTTCTTCCTCGGAATCCGCATCCCAGCTTTCCTTGACATCCTCATCTTCTTCGTCAGCAGCTGCCTCCCAGTCTTCCAGCTCGCTGTCCTCTTTAGTTTGCTTAGCGGCTTGCTCGGCAGCTTCTTTTTCTGCTTTAGCTGCGGCCTCTGCGGCGATTCTCTCGGCTTCCTTCTTCGCGCGTTCAGCGGCTTCGGCAAGGGCTCTCTCTTCATCCGCCTTGATTTCAGCGGGATTCTTCTTTACACCCTTCTTTTTGTTGCCATAGACAACCTTTTTCTTTTCTCCACCCTCTCCGCCTCCAACCTTTACACCGGCATCGATCATTTGCTTTAGTTTCATTTCATTTCGCAATTTCTCTTCTCGTTGAGCCTTGGTGAGATAGGTACCCTCTCTTTTTTGTTGTTCAATCTTCTCCTTCTCCTTTTGTTTTCGCAAGGCTCTGGCCTCTTCACGCTTCTTCTCCTCTTCGGCTTCTCGGCGTTCCTCTTCTTCGATTCGAGCCTTCTCGGCTGCAATGGCAGCGGCCCTTTCAGCTTCTCGCTTCTTCAGTTCCTCTTGCTGTTTTTGTAGCTTTGCAAGAGCAGCTGGAATCTTTTTGCCTTTCCCACCTGGAGCGGGAGTCGGTGCGACCTCGACGGGTTTCTCTTCCTCGACTGGCTTCTCAGGCTCGGCAGCCTTTCCACCTGGGGTGGTCTTCTTTTTCAAAGCTGCCTACAAATTGTACAATTAGCAAAACTATCAAAGGAACCTTGAATCAAGAAATTCACGTACTTGTTCCTTTTTCCTCTGCTTTTCTCTCTCCTTCTTCAACTTTTCTTTTTGCGCTTTCGTGAGCATCTTTCCATCCGCACCCACATCATCATCTCCTGCATCGTCATTCTTTGCAGGCTTAGCTTGCGCATTCTTTCCTTTTCCCTTTTTCTCTGGCAAGGCGAATTCATCGTCTATTGAAGCTTCAACGGGAGCTTTGTCGGCGAAATCATCTTGGGGTTGTTCATCGGCGGCTGGTGGGTCCTCTCCCTCAACGAAATCTTCCATCTGCTTTCCCTTTTTGCCTTTCTTTTGCTTCTTGCGCATCATAGCCATGAGACCTCCTGCAGGAAATTCCTCCTCAGGATCAGCCTCTGCGGCGTCGGCATCGGGCTCCGTTGCCTTGACAGGTTCAACGGTCTCTCCTAACTCCGCCTCCCAGTCATCGTTCTGCTTCTTATTGTTCTTCTTCTTTGGTGCCATTTTGGTGTTTGATTTTGTCGTCAATTTCAAGAACGAAAAGTTGGGGAAGGTTGCCTTATTATGGTGAGAATTACGTGGCGAAATCAAAAATCGAGGTTATTTAGATCGAGGATTTAATTCAAGACGATCCCAAACAAATCAGCTAGCCTTAAAAAGATGAGTGACAGCTGTTCAATGAATGTTAATTTAACAATCTAGTGAAAGAGTGCCAAAAAAGATGATAATTGAATAACTTTCGGGATTCACTATAGCGTGAATGTATGAATGTTATTTCGAGTGGGATTGAAGATTTTGAGGTATGCGCGGGGCATTTTAATCATGAGTGTGCGTTAAGTGGTTTGACTGATTTGCGTTCAAATTCACACTAGGCAGGGATCTAAACGAGTTTACCCCCCTCCTTGGAATTCTTTCACTTTATTTTATATCTCTGGGTCTCTTCCGAATCTTTCCCTTTGTACTCTTCAGGATAAGATTGCCGAGTTCTTGGTATTGTAGTTTTGGTATATGAATCATATGGGTCGTGAGCTTTTGTATAATGTTCATCTTATTTTGGGCGCTCGAATCTTTTTTCATCTCAATTCATAATCAATCATGCCGACACGTCTCGCCTACTTCATACTCTATCACAAAACTCTGGAAATATTATACGGGATGTGGTCTCTTATTTTGAGTCAAACTACATGGATTATCGAAATACATAGTTCGTTTGATTCATACTATCTAAAATACCATTGAGCCATATGAAACTATTAAATGACTGGTCTCAAAAATACTCGTAAATCGTCATAAGCCTGCTCTATATAGACATTAGGGTCATGACTAGTTTCCAACTTTCCCTCATGCATACTCTCAAGTAGCATACAAAATCGCTTAAACTGTCTCTTGTTCTCGTCAGTTTGACGATGCCCAATCCCAAACATTGCTTCGAGTTTGCCATTTTCTAAAACCCTCTTCAGAATATCACCATCAACTTGCATATTTTCAGGACTTTGTTTTGGTTCCAAGTCGGCTGATACATCCCATGGTCGTCCCCCAACAAGACCAGAACTCCTTGCAAGATTGGCAACATATTTGAGAAATTGCCACGCTCGGACATTAAGGGTGGTGAAATGGTATAATGATCCATCAATTCCTAATCCCAAAGTCTCTGAGTTCATTTCATCATTGAAGATCGCACCAAGACCATGAAGACGAGTAGAATCCACGACAGAATCCCCAGCTTTACGAACCTTCCAACTTGAATCCCATACAGGACGACAATTCGCAGATCGAAATCGGATTACTGAAGCCGGTAGTTGTGCTTCAAATACAGTATCGAGTGTATCAACTTTCAAGCCCGAACTAGCCCACAAACCAATGACAGATTTTGACCTGTCCGAGACAAACTCAATTTGACTGCTACCGGATTCTCCAAGAGGATTTGGTCTGCCAATCATATGATGAAGAGATTCGTGTTGAAGTTGATCGGTATGCGTATGACGAAGATGAACAGTTCCATCAGTTTTGATGACCTCTAGAATTTGTAGAGAATGATGCCTGGTGAGAGCATATATCTTTCCAGAATCATAAGATAGTGAAATAGCTGGCGAAAGTAGTTTGGCTTCTGCCACGTTTTCATTAAACTTTCTTTCCGCCCTATTTAACGTGCTATAGTATAGTTTGACTTCGTTGCCGCTTTGTGCACAGTAGTACAAGCCTTCAGAATCTCCAACAACTGAATACACAGTAGTAAAATTCTTGAACTGAGTTGTTTGCCAAAATGATATCTTGGATCGACCAGGATGGGTCACCGTAATATCATCACTGTTAGTTGAGATAATCACAACTCTGCCTCCACTGGTACATACGACAACAAAATTCCAAATGGAAGTCCCATGACAGTACAGCCACTCATAAATGCAAAGGATTTTTTCATCAAAGCGGCCCAATCCTGCTACAAAATTTGTTTGTGGCCCATTCTTCTTGACCCTTGGGTCAGATAAATCTTCGCCAGTTTCGGGGTCTACAAAGTAAAGTGTACTTCGACCGTCTATAGAGGCGCCAACGACAAACGCATTTCGAATCTCCGAATGGATGACTCGATATGGTGTTCCTCTGATGGGGATGCGGCGAGGTACCGTTTTTTGTTTCATCCCCATTCTGGCAAGTAGAAGCCGATTGTATGATATCATAAGAAGATCAGTATCAGCTAGTGATTCAGATTCGAGCGGTGATATGGAGTTAATATTTGGTTGTTGTAGGGTAGTATTTAGTGCATCTACCAGCCAAATTTGATCCGCTTTGATAGCCATTCTCGTTGTCTGCCTCCTTGGGGATTTTTCATCAGTACTTAAAGTACTTAGATCTATCTTGAAAATCTTCTCATCACAATTCACAAACAAACAGTTCGATTGTTCAGCTTGAGTCAACGTCGCCACACTACCTCCGAATCTGACACAACAAGACCCGCGGATATGGAAATCATGTCCGGTTTGAGCAATGTCGAAAGAAATAACTAAACCGGTGAGTGTTCCACAGAGTAACGTAAAGTTGTCGGGAGTTGACGAGGGTATAACAAGAATACTGGCTAGTGCTCGAAGGTCATAGCTACACCCTTCGTAGATGGTAGGTACGCGTAAGTGAAATTTTCCCCGCCCAATGAACATCAAGAAAATTTCCCCATCCTTTCTCTCTCCAGTAATAATAAGCCCCTGAGGATCTTGTGAATGCAGACACATCGCGATGCACGTTACTTCTCCAACTTCGGGGGTCCACTCAATAATTGTCTTGGGGGTATAGATTATGGTAGGTGGCGATGTACTATTATCAATGGCGGTATCGAGTATGCGAAGCAGACGCTGTTCCTCGTAATGTGTGGTAAACAATACCTTTTCATTGCAGATGATGGCATTATTAATGAATGTGGTTGAAATTGGTAAGGCTTGAGGATAGCCCATCATATTCATGCTGTTAAGTGTAGTGCTAAAGAAAAGGTCAGACGGCTTAATCACATCCACATAATTGTTCAGAGTATAGTTCATGAAATGAGAAGCTGGAAGACATACCAATTGCCCGAGTCTAGAACAACAATGGATCGTTCTGTTACCTGTATTGCACGATTTCCAGAGACGCTGGTCACTATAGTCCGGCTCATCAGATCTAATGGGATATGACTTGGGTCAAGTTCTTCAGCATTCGTCCGATCTAGAGAAATTTGTAAAATAGCTGATCGATCCTCGAGCGAAAGTAATACCCAGTCGTCACCACCAGCTGAACCTGAGTATACTTCTGAGGGTAAAATCCATGCTTTCGTAACCGCAGAATGAAACTCAAGATCCACGCCAAGAATAGCTTCAATACCAGACCTCAATTCTGTTATGGATGATAGTGCTCCTTTTCCGCTGCAAACAAATATCGAATCTGGCGAAGGAACGAAGCTCTGGGTTCTAGTATTAATGTCTAAGTTAGATTTCAAATTTTTCCTAATTACTACAAGATCCATAGCTGGCGACCAATTATGTGTGTCTTTTTTAACATTAGGTTGTGCTCGAGCCGTATTCTATGATGATAACGGTCAGTGAAGCTCCCGGCAAATTCCTTCAACCCGCTGTTGCAATGAGATACCATATGTTCATACTGACCAAATAAGTCCCTCCGATACTAGCGTCGCCCCCAGAAACAAGCACATCACCATGGCGGTGAATATCCGGATCGAGTGAGTAGTCTGCACAAGCGAAAGCTTTCCCGATATTGCATTGCATCTCGCCAACGTCGGTTATAGAAAGATCAAGATCTTCTCTGTCGTGATTCACCTGCAATAGACAGATCCATCCATCCTCTCGAGCGAGATATACATCATCGTGTTCTGCTGTATGGTGGGGCAAACGAGTCGGTTTTGCCCAGGCTGTCCATAAGGGTACATCTGAGCCTTGATAGAGGTCGAGGGGCATTCTTAAACCGGATCCAATTGGTATGCATTCAGGTGCACCTTCCAAAATGCCTTTGTAAGCCACCATAGAATCCTTGTTCACTAGGACAAACGCGGCTTGGAAGCGTAAAGGTATGAACAATAGGGGGATCTCCCTCAAGGCATAGCCCTTTTTGCCTCTAGAATTTCGTGATTTAATGGCTGACAGAGGATCCCCAGCTCTCCATGAATATATGAGCATCCTTATCTTACCATTCATCGTTACTATCAGTAGCAGGATAATATCATCTTCTGATCCAGCTGGAGGATGAAGGAATTCCAATTTCAAAATTGCTCCTTTACAGAGAACGATCTTCTCAGACTCGATATACTGGAGTTCCTCGCCATTGATATATTGACGATTCAGCTCCGTTCTTGACTCCAAGGCCTGAACTGTGAAACATTGTTCAGAACAACCTATAACCATATATCTTGAGCTGGGGTCAACAGATAAATGCGTTCCAGGCTGGAGCTTATCCATCGCTTTGGATAACCGTCGCCTACTAGACATAAACTTCCACGATCCGTCGCCGGATTGGTGTAGCGTTAAAAAAACTGAATCGCTAGATGTGTCCGCTTCGAGTTGTAAGACTAGAATCTGAGGTGGTAAAAGTATCTTGGGAGATGATGGGCTATCTGACGATGCCGAAAAGTTGATCATGTCAACGTCTTCGCATTCCTCCTTGACACGCACTTGCTCCTTTTCGTAGTCTTCGAGCGATCCCAGGACACTCGCATTGCGAATTTTGGAACCGAAGTCGTCCTTTCGGATGACTTCAAATAGATGCGGACCCACCCCCAATCGTCGAATCTCGACAAATGTGTCCTGACTTTGTTAGCGGTCATTCGAAGTAAGATGGGTATCATCATATAAATGAAACGGGTGCCGGCATTCGTAGTGACTTATTAATCTCTCCATACATGCTCAAGATAGAAAGTATCTAAGGTACTACAAATACCTGTTAGGCCTCAAACGTTTGCATTTGTATGAAAATCCACCAATACTATGAGTACATTGGATATCATGAATGTGTCTAACAATTTGAGTATATTAGGTGTTTAGAGTTCCTGATGGGCTCTGGGCCATTGTCATCTTATGATTCTCTCCAACACTTGCAGAATCTCAGTGATGATAGTCCAGTTCCTTCACAAGTAAAAAAATAACCAATAACAATGAACAAAAGCAACATAACTGACATACAGCACGACAGCGTGAGAAAAGAAAGCTACATTTACTTACTCCAATATATGCTACATCATTGTACTCCTGACCACGAAGTCTAATGGGCAGAATCCAATGTACAAGAGGGCTGGGAATGATTGTTTGAGTCAGAACACCACGGACCGGAGGACGTATCGTTTCCATGGTATGATCGATTGGCCTATCATCCATTCGATTGTAGCGTTGAAGCAGTGTATGGGTATCGACAGTCCTGGTAACCCATTGTCCGTCAACCAAGACTTGTGTTTGCAAAGGAAATGCCATTGGGACAATTCAAATAAGATTAATTGTCAATTAATTTTTATCCGAATTAGGAAGACACGGCGCGCCTCGTATATGCAAACCTAATCTGAAGGTACTTGATAAAAGGTATTGGGTAAAAGTTGGAATGATGAATGATCGATGACCTTCGGTATTGAATGTGAATCTCGAGAGGACTGATCAATGATATGGACAGATATTGATTATATCATTAGCCTCGGGAACTTTATTTGTTTTAAACCTTTGATCATAGGATAAGGAGGAGAATATTGGTATTGATAGTTGGAGTTGCCTCAGAATACTAATAGTCCAAAAATGATACCCAGGTAGGTGAACGACATGAAAGTTTGGCCTGTGAGCGAGCGAGCCTATTCATCCATGACCACCTGGTAAGGACAATATTGATACTTGGGGTTGCTTCCAAATGCTGGTACTCCGATCATGCTCCTCAGATGAATCGTCTAAAAGTTATATCCACCACTGGAGAATTGGAAATGCCGTGGCCAGCACCAATCGACGTATCAATGTAAGTTTACCAGTCCAATCTTTGATATTTGCCCTGGACGCTAGGTAGGTATGTGACCTTGATCGTGACTTCTGTATTTGTATTTAGCCTTTACAAAATAAGGCTGATTGATAGACCTCTTTCGGCCCGAAATATCATAGAAAATGTAAGACTTCAGACATTTATCTATCTATAGAAAACATAAAATATTCTCCGAGAAAATTCATACCCTTTTCAACCCGATAATATATTTTGGTTGTCGTCAAAATGTGCTGATTGAATATGTCATATTTTATTTGACATGGATTGAAAAGAATCCCTGACTGAAGACGGGAAACCATCAAGGTCGCTTCTGCTCTATTTCTACGCTAAGCTATCAAGCTGGTTAACAATGGAAGGGATACTCTACGAGCCTCACTACAAGTGATTTATTGGCCCTTTGTCGGATTTCTTTCTCCGACTTTAAAATAGGCTATCATGATAATCCGACTCTCCAAATTTCATCACACTCAATATGGAGTCTAATGAGCAACCCATTAAGAGAGAGAAGTCCTCGGCAAGCTCCTCAAGAGCCTCGTCCCGCTCCCCCTCACATTCCACCAAAGTGAAGCAACCACGAGAGCCTACTGAAAAGGAAGTAAAGATCTTGGAGGCATGCAAATGGAGAGATTTGGAAACGATTAGAGAATTGGCAACATCGAAAGATGGCTTGGTCTCAGATGAAGTTCGTCGTCAAGCGTGTAAGATATTCAAGCTCCCGAACAAACCTTTCGATTCGAATCTGACAATGAATAATAGGGCCTATACTCCTCGGTTGTGACAATGAACTCGGCGACACAAAGGGCGATTTGACTAGCTGGAAGGAACTGCCAAAGCATGGGGACGAGGACCAGGTTGCGCTGGATGTCAATCGGTCTTTCATATACTATCCAAATGGTATGGTTATGGAAACACAACGAAGCAGCATAGCACAAGCTAATTATTACCTAGATCAAACCTCGAAAGAGATTGGCCATAGGAAGGAAGAATTATCTGACCTCATCATCGAAGTTCTACGTCGCAATCCTTATCTCTGCTACTTCCAAGGTTACCACGATATCTGCCAAGTGCTCCTTCTTGTTCTCCCATCTGCTACTCGCACCCCCTCAGTTGCCCGGCTTTCTGCACTTCGAATTCGCGATTTCATGCTTCCAACTCTATCCCCAGCTCTCGCACAACTTCGCCTTATTCCATCCATCATAAATACTGTCTCTCCTGCACTTCGCACTCATCTCTCACAAACCCAACCATTCTTTGCTCTCTCGGGCACCCTTACAATGTACGCGCATGATATACAAGAATATGGTGATATCGCCCGGCTTTTCGATGTTTTATTGGCACGAGAGACTGTCTTTTCTGTCTATATGTTTGCACAAATTGTTCTTTCACGTTCCGAAGAGCTTTTTGAGACACCCGCCGATGAACCAGAAATGTTACATTCTATACTTTCAAAACTACCTAAACCTCTCGATCTCGAATCTCTCATTTCCAATACGATCAAATTATTTGAGGAGCATCCACCTGAAACTTTACCCTCCTGGAGATCAATATCTTCATCTAGCGTCCTCAAAACCGCTCGTTGGTCTGATCAGATCACAAAACAGAGCCTTTCAGATGGCCAGAGATATTTCGCGCAACAAGTTAAGGAATTACAATGGGCTGCAAAGCGTGATGAATTATTAAAGATAATGTGGAGATACAGACGGCCTGCTAAGGCTATTGGTGTTGCAGTTTTGGTCGGAATTTTCTCATATCACTGTTTACCTAGATCGAATATAGTAGGAAGACGCTGGACGTCTGTATTAGGGGTTCTTTGGGAATTACTTGGCGGAGGTTACAATGGCCATTGAAATATAGGTTGGGCGGGGTCTACTGACTGTGTATAAGGTCTCTGGGGTATCAGGGTATTGGGAATGGAGTACAGACGGGTTCATTAATGGTTGGGTGGAGCATGATTTCTTCTACAGCGTAGACTATTTCCGGCTCTATTCCTATCATAATAAAAGTTTTTGTTTTTCTGCACGAGTACAAAATGGATGATTAAAATAACACGCCTTGACAAGTTTACACGCTCAAAAACTTTTAATCCAGTGTCAAAAAGAAGTGAAGGGTCAGATACCCTCTCCGAAAGCGTTCTTTAACCCCTCAAAATGCGCCCTTTGTTCCCCAGCTAATTTACCCTCCACATCCCCTACAATTGTCAAAATCAACGAATAGTTATTAAACAAAAATCGTTCCTTCTTCCTCTTATCCGGCATGACCCCCGCGCACTTTGTCAAGAATGCTTCTATCTCGCTTCTCAATCTTGCCAGACTACTCGCTACAGGTTCATCATCTCCCGCTTCCGTACTTAATTCCAAGATGCCCTGTAGAAACTGACCGAAACGTTGGGTCATGAAGTGTGGAGCTGCAGATTGTTTAGCTTGTTCTGAAGCTGAGGGTTTGCGGGTAGGAAGGGCGGATGTTAGGGTGCGGACGGATTCGCAGTGGATGTCCATTGTGAGTTGGAAGCGTGGCCAGAGGAGCATGGATGTTGCGTTTATGTAGGAATCTACAGCGGGGATCTTGCGGCGTTGAAGAGAAAATGCAAAGTGTTGGTTCAAGCGCACACATAGGAGGAGACCCAGACAATCATGGGACTCGTGGACGAGAGACTTGGTGAGAGATTGGCCGAGGGAAAAAGTGGGTTCGAAGATGTAGTTGAAGTATCGGGAGATGGTAGCATAGGTTAGTGAGGGAGAGAAGAAAGAGGTAAGAAAGGAGTATTCGGCGGAAGCGTTGTCAATCAGCGCTAGGTTGAAGTTACGGAAAGGAAACTCCATGTAATGGGTTTGTTTGTCTTCTTCGGCTAGGAAGGAGGGAAGTGCAGTTTGGTTTGGGGTTTTGAGAAGGTCGATTCGTCGACCTAGATTGAATGCGTCATGCGGTGGACCTGTTTGTTTGGATCCTGAAAGAAGGGTAGCCTTACGAGACCCATCATCTGATCCGAGCACATCGTGTCTGTCTAATAAATGAAGCTTGATCTTTTCCAACGCCTTCAGATACCTCGTGAACTGATTAAGGAAGTACCATCGCATTGTATTCATATATGCTTGACCAAGCTCTTCAGCCAACTTCGGGTGATGCCTATGCAAGAATGCATATAAATCTTTGTAGCGAAGAAAGTGCTGTTGTTGAATAATCTGTGCATTTATATTGGGCGATCGCAATGCTTTTACTTGGGCAACGAGGAAATCTCTGATTCTTTCCAGTGCCTAGATATAAAAAGTCAATATTTTTATTTGTAGGAGGGATCAGGATAGGTGAGTCTACTTTGGAAACTAGATTCTCGAGCAAAGGCTTAAGATCGTTCACACCCTTTATAACACGTTGCTCCTTTGATTTAGCATCCATTGCCTTTGATCGTTTCTCAACTTCCGCTAATGCTCGAACCCAAGCTTCATCTATAGCTCCATCCACGATTTTTTTAACGACAGCTGGGGAGACACTGATCTCTTCCACTATTGGCCCAAGTCCGTTCTCTACTACTTTGCGATTTTCCAACCTTACACTCAAAGCCGTTGATCGTGCTTGTAGAGTTTCGATCTCCGCAGAAACCATAGCAAGATCGTTTTGAAAGCTGGTGAGGTTTATTTCGACTGAATTAAGAACGTCATCGCAGGCGCGAATTGATCGATGGAGGTCTTCGAACTTTTCTTTATCGCGCTCATCTGTTGAAGCTATCAGCAACTGCGCATTGCAATTTAAGAAGTATTATACATACATTCCTCCAGTGTTTGAGATTTATATACATGCTCAACCTCAATATCGAGAGGTTCTCCTGCTACAATGTCTTGCAGACTTAACCCTCCGAAGTCCCATTCGCCTTCATCATCTTCCTCTTTAATGGGAGCAACTGTCCCATTTGTAGTCTCCAAGCTCTTCGTTGATGGCGACTTTGCGCCTTCCCCATTGTTCAACAGTGTTCCCAAAACCTCTAAAGGATCAGGCACATTCGGAGATATGACTGCTTGTTTGAGGTTCGAACCATTGGGTCTCCGTGATGATAGCAAGGATGAATTAGAGTCATTGGAGACTAACGACAGGGAAGACGATCTCGGATTGAAAGGAGGTCTACCACCAACTGGAGATGGCACAAGATGACTCGGTCGACGAGGGAGATTTGGGATCCTATTTAATGGGGGAGGTGGAGAGGCAGAAGGTGTTGTATGTCCGGATAATCGATCTAGTGACCACATTCTGATGGTCGAAATGTAAAGCAGTTAATTCCTCTCCCCATGCGCCAATAATAAATTGAAGTGAAGAGGATTTGTGTGGAATATCGGAGGTGTTACTCCTGGTGTCATCTGAATAAAGCAGTTAAGTATAAACAAAAGGGAGCTTCAGCTTATCGATATGGAACAGACCAGATTATCGAAAATGGCATACCCAAAGCTTTGTAAACACTTAACAAAGCAAAGTAATGAAAATGCTTTCCTCAATTGAAGAAGTTATACCAGGAAAACAACTCAAACATCACTTCTCAACACGAACAAGTACCTCTCTTATTGCCTACCTACTCAAGCTGCTGTTGAAAGCTTTGTACAATTGTTATGATACTGATTGTATGTATGTATGAATTGATAGCGATAGCGATAAGGAATATGGTTTTGCCTCTCAAGCCACTTCTGCTTTGTGGCTGGTGTCTGTGGCTATTACCTGAAGTACCTACGTTGATAAGAGAAGACTGGCCGACGAAGTTGTGGATATACCCAAGTAAAATGCTTGAGAGTTTGGATATACTAATGTGCTGATATGCTATTAAAACGTCTATTTTTCTTCGTTCAAAGCACTCTCTCTTCCCTTCTTAGTCAGTACTTATCATCGAGGTGATGTCATGTGATCAGTGTTCCCCTCACTTTGCATCCAAGTCTGCCCAGGTGGCTTTGAATAATCAACCCGAAATGTAATATAACAACACCAGTTGATCGAGATAGCCAACCAAAGTCGGAGAAGCAGCTTTGTATTTTTCAGCCACTCTTCCATGCCCGACTTATCCAATAACCGTAATAGGAATGAAGTTCAAATGAAAGAATTTAATTGGTTGAAATATCTCCACCCTCGACTTTTTTTCACAAAAAAACTGGAACTAATGGTCGCTAAAATCTACCAATCTTTCCAGGACCAGATTCCTTTCCACACACCACATTCTGTTCTTCCTCGAATTTATAAATTCTTCCACACCTCCTAATCTTTTCGCAATCATTCTCATCACGACTCCTCAACTCTATCAATTTTTATTCTAACTCCCCAAACCCCCCGAATACCTCTCAAGATGTCTGGAGAAGCCCCAGTTGATGACTCTCAAGTAAGATAAATTTTGTCCTTTCTTTCTGTGTGTCGATTTCACCCCGCACATGAACTCTTTCCCCCCACCAAAAATCGCTTTGCGTGCATATCAACCAAAATCAACGACGACGAAGATGATAAAAACCTGATAGCTGACCTTTTTTCCCCTTCTGATAGCATGAGCACACCTTCGATTCCGCCGATGCTGGTGCATCCACCACCTACCCCATGCAATGTTCTGCTTTGAGAAAGAACGGATTCGTCTGCATCAAGACCCGCCCTTGCAAGATCATCGACATGTCTACCTCTAAGACTGGTAAGCACGGTCACGCCAAAGTCCATCTCGTCGCCACCGATATCTTCACCGGAAAGAAGCTCGAAGAACTTTGCCCATCCACCCACAACATGGATGTCCCCAACGTTTCCCGTATCGAGTACCAATTGGTAAGAATATAAAAATATGGTCAATTGTTGGGCGCGTTCGCTGACGAATTTTCAAAGCTCAACATCACTGATGATGATTTCCTCTCCTTGATGTCTGAAGGAGGTGAACTTAAGGAGGATGTCAAGTTGCCAGATGGAGAGGTCGGACAAAAGATCCGTAGTCTTTGGGACTCCGAGAAGGATACTAGTAAGTAACGCATATTCGGAAAATTTTCAACCCATTACTGACAAATCCCTCTTCTAGACGTCATTGTCCTCACTGCTATGGGTGAGCAACTCGCTATCGATGGAAAGGAGGCACCAAAATCTGGTTAAATATCTGAAAAGGAATGGTACCGAGATTTTCGCAATAGCATGGGTTGTTTTGCGTGAATATCTGTTCACTCGAAGGTCCTTCAAATTCAGAGGAATATGATATTTCCGGATATCTGCTTTCTTATGGTCTACGTTGGGGCGATTTGATCTACGAAAACTTGGTCACACTGGTTATCTTATCTCTCCTAGCTCCCCCAGTATCATAATTTCATAGCTAATTGCTGTTTTATGATATCCTTGACCGGCGTAGTCAAGCGGGCATGCTACATAGTTTGTTTTCACGAAGTAAAAAATTATCTCCCAGTTATCTAGAATCTATGTGAGACGCATGAATCTGCAATTTCCATTAGTGAAGTACCTACCAGTAGTACATTTATTAAATAAAAAAAGAAGTGCTACGTTTACCCGCTTCTAGCGCCAATTTTTCCACGTAAACGATTTCGGGAAAATGATACCCGATTCTATGTACTGAATATGCCACTGGAAGTCATGATTCAAAAACTCTTCAAGTGCTAATCTCTGCTATAAGCTATGTCATCGGCGATAGATTATCATAAATTTCGCAGAGGGGAGACATGCAGCGAAGAAGGATGCCGCGCTCGAAAATTCTATATTGAAGATGGTAAAAAGTTTTGTCAACGAGGTCATGAGCAAGCAGTTTGTAAACGTTTCCAAACCAAAATAGTCGTAAAATAACTCAGTCTAGGGTTTTACACAAACTCAACAAGATGAGGATGACTGGAATCAGCAAGGAAAGAAGTCAAGAAAACGGCGAGAGGAAAAAGAGCAGGTGGAAAAAGTTTTCGGGGGTAGTGATGCCACACAACTTTATTTACAATGTTACCAATTAATTCTTTGGAAACAAACCCACTGGTTAGTGACAGCGAAGGGCTTTCCAAAAGAATTAGAAACTATCGTAAGAGATTTATGGGAATTGAGATTGAGAGTTTTACAAGGTTCGGGAGACGAAAGAAGTGAGTATGGGACGGAATTTGGGTCAACGACGGAAGGAGACGACACGGATACGGATGGGACGGGGTATAGAAGTACAGCTTCGACTGTTATGAGTAGGAAGAGAGCATCTAGGGCCAAGAAAAATCTTCCAAAGTTGATTGATACTCTGGGGTTTTGCTATCTTGGAATATTACTTTTGCGACTGCCTACAAGTTTAGGAGAGATATATAAATGGGCAACTAGGGATGAGATTATCTACACACGAGCGGTAAGTGAGGGACGTAGACATAATTCCCTTATTTACTAAAGGAATGCAGATTAAAGAAATTCCTAAAGATATGAGAGCTCGATTGCCAGGTCATTATTTCAGAGCACTCGAAATACACGGCGTCTTGAATGGGCATAGACTTCATCAAACGGTACTCGATATGGTTTCATTTTTCAATTTCAATTTCGAAATGGTTTTTCCCCCAATAAACCACAAACTACTTCTATACAAGAGTGTTAGAGATCTGGGTCTTCCAGGTGTGTTCTCAACCTCAAGATTCAGAGTTCTGTTTACATCTAACCTCTCTCAGTTGACATTTACATGGCGGTAAATCATCTTGCTGAGATTCTGGAATACAATTTTTCATACCCAATCCATAACAAGCGGTTACATGGAACAACTGGATATCCAGAATATCAACTCACCAGTCTGATAGTTATTGCCACAAAACTCAGCCAGCCATTCGATGACATACACCGTCATCCAGAGAGCAATCTAGATGCCACAGCTGCAAAAATCAACTGGACTAAATGGCAAAGTATTATGTTCGATAATCCAGCTGAAGGCTTGAAACGTGGAGATGAAATCAAAATCACAGATGCAGATGTTTTTAAAATGACTGGAGAACAAATGGACGATTGGATGAATTGGTATCACAAAACTTGGATCGACGACAGAGATCAAAAAGGTGAGCAAATACTACATTGGTTGAATGTACTTTTCACTAAGGTTGTGAACAGTTCCCCAGCACATTTTGGAGCTCTTCCCATTGTCGGATACCATACCTGACACGGCAATGGGAATAGTTGATCCGGATCCAATTAATCGGGCCAAAGAAGTTCACAAAACATTAACCCTTCAGAAGCCAGTAGCTCATGTGGATGATGATGAATTCCAAGATATTGTTCGCCCAGGTGAAAAGTATAGAAGATATCGGACAATTGAAGAGTTACCTGAAAGTGCCAAAGCCTTTTTTAAGATTGCTGGTAAGTTGTTCTTGTTAGGTGATGTCTTCATGCTCTTATTGACTGGTATAGCGAGAAATATTGGAGCTTCTATTGAAAAATTGGTACATGGTGTTTTTACTACTGAGATTCAGTTGGAAAAATGGATGTTAGATGAGCGTAGGAAAGCGTTGTTAGATCAGGAAGAGAGTGAGGAAGAAAACGCTTATCAGGAGGAGATGATACATGGCGTCGAGGTGGGTGGCGAAGTCGGGGAGGAAGATTTCAATGAGAGAGGCGTTGATTCTCCTACGAAAGAGTGAGCATGAAGCAATTGGGTTCCCTGATTCGTGTGCAATTTTCGAAAGATGGGTACAGGTAATAGTTCTGGTACGGACGTATTGGAAAAGGGTGCCATCTTGCTTTGAATAGATTCATTGGTGTTTAGGATTTATTGTAGATACCCAGAGAAATGATCGAATGAAATCTTTAGACACAATACTGTTTTTATCAATAGGATCAATAGGATCAATTACTTCCTAATTTCATCCCATCATTCTCACCTTGATGGCTACCTGCTTGATGAGCGGGCAGCCTCAAATTCGAGGGTTGGTACACTGTCATGTCATGTGACTCAACGCGCTAGGGTTTTTCTCGCTTCCCAACCCACATTCTTTGCAATATTCGACTTGAGTTGGGACTTCGAAATTTAGATTTCCACGACAAGTACGACAAATCGAAGAACCTCAGCAACCAGTAAGTATATACAGCCCTTGCGGTCATTTAAAATGCTTGCGAGTAATTACTGACCTTGTTTGCGATTTTAGTGCAGATGTAAGAAATCCCGATATCCCACCCGCCACCTACCATGAGATTATACGATTTTCGGAATCATTTGCGACATCGACACACGAATTTAAATGATAGAAAACTGATGATATAATAATAGCTTCGTCAAGACCCTTACGGGCAAGACCATCACTCTTGAGGTCGAGTCCTCTGACACCATCGACAATGTTAAGGCCAAGATCCAAGACAAGGAGGGAATTCCCCCCGATCAACAACGTTTGATCTTCGCTGGAAAGCAACTTGAGGACGGACGTACTCTCTCAGACTACAACATCCAAAAGGTACGATTATCTTACACTCCGGGTTGAATCGACAAGTTTGGATGTCTGGGAATTGTTGGAGCTAGAGGATGTATATGCAGGGGATAACGAGATGGAAGTATCGGAATTGGTTTATTGACATTATTTTGCCCACAGGAATCCACTCTCCACTTGGTCCTTCGTCTCCGTGGTGGTCTTATTGAACCATCTCTCAAGGCCCTTGCCTCCAAGTTCAACTGCGAGAAGATGATCTGCAGAAAGTGCTACGTACGTTTTCCGATTTTTCCCATCAAGTCCCGAAATACTGATGAACAAATTTAGGCCCGTCTCCCTCCCCGTGCTACCAACTGCAGAAAGAAGAAGTGCGGACACACCAACCAACTCCGCCCAAAGAAGAAGCTCAAGTAAATGTTTCGCTCCTATGGCGTTTGGGTCCACAGGGAGATTGTGGAAGGGAGGATTGGTGCGCGGATGTATCAATGGATTCTTTGCGTGGCCGGCTCTGTATTTGAGAACAATAGCATGAGGCAAATGAAGCAATGAGACGATTATTCAGCACACCAATTACAAATATCTTCAAGAACACTTTTTCGTGTGCAGTTGAATTTGAAGTCGATATGTGCCTGCCTGCCTGTCTGAACTAATTTGATTCAATTTTCCAGTTCGATTGTGAGCTTTGGGCTAATATTGGAGGACTTCTTGCTTTGGACAAATGGATGCATCACGGGAACGAACTATCTATCTAATCTACACGTTCTCCAGTGTTACGGCAAGCGACGACTTTGTGACAAATAATACTTTCCGACATTCTTTCTTGGTCCAGCATAATGTCCAGACGACCTAGTAGCTAAATGAGGAACACGAAAGACACACAGATAAGATGCATTTCTTGTCTGGTAGGCAAACCCCCTTCTATCAGAAACCCAATCAGAGTTGAATGGAGTGGGATAATGAATCGCTGAGTACGTAGTAGAACAAGGGTAATACAACAACCGGTGGTAATCTTCAAGGGTGGATATATAACAATAGTTTTTAGTCTTATTATCGTGGTGGATCAGCACAAGTCTTTCCAGCACTGTGGCTATTGTGAAAGATATAAAGTTGTTAAGCACAAGAAATTTATCAGATCGATTATATTGGTATCTGAATGAATGAATCTAAATGATTCCCGTCTAGTATAACGTCAAGAGATATCTTTATGTGAATTTGAGAACACGATTACCAAGAATACCTACATGAAATAACATTTGATTCGTTTTGAACTTTTTGATATCACATCTCATCTAATCAGCGGAATGAGCACTCGCTTTGCAGGGATGATATCGCCTGCATCTCTTAGCGCGCCTACCTCTAGATTCGCAAGCTGTCCCAAGCTACAACATAGAACACCACTCATGCAACAATCCTCACAACATTAAATTATTCTAGTTGCAGCAAAACAAAATGTCAGGAGCTGGATATGATGTCGTCGTCGATGTGGATGAGGAGGTACGTTTATCATTTACTTTCCCCAGGACTCATTTTTCTGTCTTGAATCCAAACTCATTTTCTCATACTAACAAACCCAGGGCGATCTAGGCCACACTGATCTCCAAGAAGATCTCTCCTTCCACAATTCCAATTTCGAAAACAATCCCTCCTCATCCCGCAATAAGCCCACGTCGCCTGGCCTCCCCGCTCCAGCGACTGCAGGTGGTCCTAATACCTCGAAGCGCTACCTCTGGTCCCTACATTTCTACTCACAGTTCTTCGATGTCGATACCTCTTCCGTTCTAGCACGATGTTGGGCAGCTTTATATCCTCGTGCAAATTTCTTGGATGTGTTAGAGGGGAATCCAGATTTGTATGGTCCGTTTTGGATTGCTACGACCGTTATTTTTATTCTATTCATGGGAGGAACGGTTAGCTTGTATCTGGCGGAAAGAGGAGAAGGAAGATTTGCGTACGATTTTGGGTTGTTAAGTGGTAGGTCCTTTTTTCTTTTACTTACGTGAGACTCGAAGTGCATTCATGGCTAGAGAGAATGAACATGATACTAACTTGGATTCTTCTACAGGCGCCGCAGGTCTAATCTATGGATATACATTCGTAATTCCAATCCTTCTCTTCCTAGCCCTTAAATATTTTGGCAGCGAATCTGCCAATCTTCTCGAATGCGCCGCTCTTTACGGCTACTCCAATCTCGTATGGATTCCTGTTGCATTGGTCTCCTGGTCATCCCTTACAATCATGAATTGGGTATTCGTAGGAGTTGGATTTGGGTTGAGCGTTGCTTTCCTCCTTAGGAATTTATATCCAGTTCTCAGCGCTACGGATAAACAGACAAGCAAAATATTACTTATCATGGTGGTTGTTTTACATGCAGGTTTGGCAATTGCTATTAAGGTGTTGTTCTTTGCCCATGGAAGTCCGGTAGCTAAGAAGCCTGAGGGGGAAGATCCTGCCAAGGATGCCAATCCAAGTAGGATGTTGTTTTAAATTTGGAGATATCTCGAGGAACATTTTTGTCTTGGGATGAAGGGTTGAGGGGAGACTAAGTAAAGGCTGGTCCGAATTAAGGGGGAAGAAATATCTTCAAGGAGTATAAGTCATTTCAAAATCAGACAAATAGATCGATACCCATTATCATGTACAATTTATCATGTTAACCTGTTATTCATTGTGTATCGACTTTTGTTTCAAGTACTATACACCCTTCCATCATGGATCTATAATACACTTGATTCACAACGGCTGTTCAAAAAATCCGAGAATCAAGATTCTAGCTCCGAATTTGGTTTATCTATAAAAATTTCCTGAAGTATTGTGTGACTTGCCAAGTTATCGTCTCTCTAAAAAGTAAAGGTATTCATGTGCTTTAACTCTTACATGGCAAGTTGTTGCTCCGGATGGGCTCCCGGTGAGCTCGTTTGAGAATGAGGTTTAGTTATTTGTTACTCCCGGTGAGCCGTCTTGTAGAATAATGAATAAACTCCTTGGTTTAGCATAACTTGCGATTTCATTCTGTACCCTCTGTTTTCTTGATTTTGATGTGCACTCAATCATTTGTATTAGTACTGACATGACGAAATCCAACAAGGATCGCTAGACGTACCTAAAATCCGGGGTAATATTTCATCCCTCCATCCATCCCACCATCAAAACCACACCTCGAATAGAAAGGAAGCTTTACCATAGCCCAAACGGACACACCCTCGCAGTCGTCAATTGAATTACCCCGCGTCGAACACAGACTTTGTCTTCATAATTCGGCATCAAAAATGAAGAATATGGCTACCCCTCGAGTATCTCGCACTTTAGCCCGCGCGTTCCAAACGCGCATGGGAGCTTCGTCTGTAAAATGCTATTCCACGTCGCATTTGCCCACGAGCAGTAGCAAGAATTTCAGTACGAGGGTTCGAGATAGTGGATTGATGAATGCGGGGGTCTTTGGTCGAGAGTTGGCTCGAGGATCTGGATACGTCAGGAGATCGTATTCGCAGGAATCGGAGACGAAGTCAAAATATTACACTTTTGAAGATGTTTGTTCTCCTCTCCCTTCACCCTTTCTCCTGAAATGCATTTACTCACTTATTCTCTCTCTTTCTCTTCCTCTAGATGCAAAAACTCGCATCCGCTCCACATCCCGATACTCATATCATCGATGTCCGTACCCCCTCGAAGTGCAACAAACAGGACGCATTCCCAGCGCGGTGAATATTTCAATCACGACGGATCCGGATGCGTTTAGTATTAGCGAGGAAGAGTTTGAAGATCGCTTTGGGTTTGAGAGGCCCGGGAAGGAGGTGGAGTGTGTGTTTTATTGTAAGGCGGGGGTGAGGTCGCGGGCGGCGGCGCAGATTGCGAGGGGAATGGGTGGAGGAAGGTGAGCGAGTTTGAGGGGAGTTGGGGGGAGTGGAGTGGGAAGGGAGGGAAGGTGGAGAGGTGAGGAGGTTGTGTGGACTGGGAATGCTGGGAGAGTGGTATTAATGGTGATTTGGCGGGATATATCATTGATGGACTGCAGCCCGTGAATTCCAAATGCATTTGTTGTGCATTCTCAAAAGCACACCTACAAGATAAATTCCTCTTGCCTTGCAAAGAAAAATAAAATTACTGCAGACCTAGTAGTCACTCACAGAGTACAAGTAACTCTGTATCATGCTCTTTTCAATTACATGTCATGAAGCAAAGCACATGTATTTGTATCAGTCTTGTATTCAACGTTATACGTT